AGAGTCCTGTAGTTTCTTGATATCAATTTTGGTTATAATGAACTGAGACTACATTTTCAATTTTAGTTATTAGGATTTATACTTCTTTTTTGACATATTATCTGAAAAATTCTTTGCTCCTTCATTCCTCATGAACAGTCTTGGAGAAGTTGTATTTAGTTACATGGCTTGATCATGTTGCCTTTGTAAATTTGTTACTCAAAGTGCTTAATTATGGCTTACTGAAATAGTTCCTCTACCTGAATCTGATATTCCTAAATGAGACCCTTGTGTCTGATAGGAATTTGTTCACTTTTATTTATTACTAGGATAAAGATAACCACAATTTATTAAGAATGTACTATATACTGTACTAAGGACTTTGTAAGCATTCATTTAATGCTTTAACGACCCTGTGAGGTAGACATTACTTTCTCTGTTTTATGGATAAGGAGCTGACACTCAGGGACATTAAGTAGAGGCTAGTAACTGGTTAAGCTGGATATTGAATCTTGGTTTCTCTAATTCCAGAGGTTGGACTCTTAACTGCCATAATATTTTGCCTCAGTATATTTTACTTGTTTGGGGTAATAATTTTTTTAGGATATGGATGAGAAGCCTTTAAAACATTTTCCCCTCTTTTTACTGAGGTATACTGAAAGCTACTCTGATGATGATTCAAATGTGGAAGATTACCCAGATCCACAGGTAAGCCAAACATTTAATGGGGCCACTTTGATTTTTTTTTTTTTTAATCATTATGATCCTTCCTTAGAAAAAGATCAGTAAAGAATAGAATGAAAGACTATGGACATCTTCATCAGTAAATAATCGAATACTTCCTATGTACAGTGTTGATGACGGATTAGCCATCCTCCCAGTATGTGTGTTTATAGTCAGTTACACAAGGAAAAACAAGGGAAGAGAATAGCCAGAAATAAGGGCAGACAGGAATAGAAAGGGGAATTGACAGTAAAACTGGACAAAGGAATATATTTTTTGCCCAGGAGCTACCATTATTGATGAATAGTCTTGATTAAAGGGAAATATGGAGGTAATACAGTCGTCCCTCAGTATTCAGGGAGGATTGGTCCCAGGACCCCCACCATGGATACCGAAATCCACAAATGCTCAAGTCCCTTATATAAAATGGTATAGTATTTGCATATAACCTACACACATCCTCCTGTATACTTCTAATCATCTTTAGGTTACTTATACCAAATACAGTGTAAATGCTATGTAAATAGTTAATTATACTGTATTGATTTTTTATTTATATTATTTTTTATTGTTGTATTACTTTTTTTTTTTTTAATTTATTTTTCGAGACAGAGTCTAACTCTGTTGCGTGGGCTAGAGTGCAGTGGTGTGATTATAGTTCACTGCAACCTCAAACTCCTGGGCTCAAGGGATCCTCCTCCCTCAGCCTCCTGAGTAGCTGGGACTACAGGCCCATGCCACCATGCTTGGCTAATTTTTCTGTTTTTTATAGAGGCGAGGTCTTGCTCTTGGTCAGGTTGGTCTTGAAATCCTGGCCTCAAGCAATCCTCCTGGGTTGGAGGTGTGAGCCACCGCACCTGGCTGTATTGTTATTTTTTATTTATTTATTTTTTTAAATATTTTCAATCCAAGGTTGGTTGAATCCATGGATGCAAAATCCTCAGATACAGACCGCCAATTGTATGTCAGATTATTTATAACTTGTTCTCTATTTTTTTTCCCTTGGTAAATCAGTTTTTTAATTTATTGACTAAGTAGTGTTGATTGGCCTGGCATGGTGGCTCACAGTTGTAATCCTAGCACTCTGGGAGGCTGAGGCAGGAAGATTGCATCTTATTGTGAACACCTATGTATTCTGACGGTAAATATCGTTAGAGAAGTTGTTGAAAGCAAAATTTAGAAAATTTTGGTATAGGCAATGGAACTTTCTTGAGTACTTATTGAGTAATTTATGCTTAAATCATGTTTCATGTTTCTGCCAGTCAGCAAAGCACATGAACAGTTCCCTGCTCTCTTTATATCGGAAAGGAAATCCTGATTCTGTTTCAAATACTCCTGAAATGGAGCAAAGAGAAACCATCACTTCAACACCGCAGATCACTTCCAAAACAGGCTCCATTTCTTTGAAGACGCCTGCCAGAGATTCTGAGGGAGGATGGTTTATTGACAAAAACCCCGGTGGAAAGAAAGACAGTTTTTCCTTGGACCTATCATGTGAGAAAAGTAATCATAAGAAGCCAATAACTGAAATACAGGTATTTTTGCAGTGAAATTTTAGCTCCACATAGTTGAAGTACATTACAACATTTTCATTGAATGTAATGTCAAACAGATATGTGTGTTTTGTAGAAAACATAGGAGTTTTGAAATACACATAGAATTTTATCACTTCATAGAATTTACCCTTGTTTTTATCCTAGTCTAAGCTTCCACTCTTTCGTGCTTTACGTGTTGAAATAGGCTTCCGGCCAGAGTCTGTGTCCATTCTTGTTCCCTTAGTTTATTCTTCATACAGAGATATCTTTTTTACAAGTTAAGTCATGTCATTTTCATGCTTCTATTTAAAAAACCTTCAGTGGCTTCATTTAGTCTCAAATGCAAAGATCTTGTAATTGTCAGTAAAGCCCTTTATGATTTGGCTGCCCTGCTGCCTCTTTAATCTCCTCTCATGCTATCCTCTTAGATCTGTAAATCTGTTTTTTCAGCTGTAAATTTTACAAACTAACATAAGTCAAGTGTTTTCATTGAATATTTAGTATCCAAATTGAGATGTGCTATAAACTTGAAGTATACATTAGACTTTGAAGATTTATTACTACAAAAAACAGAATGTAGAGCATCCCATTAATAATTTTTTATATTTCTTATATGTATGTGGCTCACATTATACTTATCTTATACAATGATGCTTTAAGTGGTTTCTGAGAACCAAGCCCTTTGATTTGGCAGAAGCTTTTCCCCTTTTGAGTTACTGATGGGTCTTTTCCAAATCTCTTTGTTTAATCATCCATCTGTGGAGAACATTATTATGATTGGCAAGAACTTGACTCTTATGTTGAATTATACTTTATTATTATTTATTTATAGACAAGGTCTCACTATGTTGCCCAGGCTAGAGTGCAGTGGCTGTTCACAGGCACAATCATAGCACACTATAGCTTGAACTCCTGGACTCAAGTAATCCTCTTGCCTCAGCCTCCCAAGTAGCTGGGACCGCAGGCAC